AAGGACTGGACTTGAACACGTAGACACGTCCTGTGTCTAGGGGAAGGCTTGGCAACCGGCAAGAGATGGAAAGACAAGAGGTACAGAGGAAGGAATTAGAGGTCATTTTTACTTCTCAATGACTTTTCTTGAAAAAGTAGGAGGTGACTTGTCTCCTGGGAGTCTGGAGACGAGGGTGCATGGTGTTAGGCAAGGGTGTTGAGGAATGGCGATCATTTGGAACAGTTATAAGAGAAATATGAGAATGGGCAAACTAAGGACAAAACTAAGGCCTCTCATGTGGCACTGAGAGTCCAGATGAAGTTAACTTTTCTCCATCAGCACTCAGCTACCCAGCATGGAAGCAAAGAAAGCCAATTCTGAGACGGCTCTGGGAACAAGGCTCCCCAGCCACGCCGTGGAAAGACAAGGAGGTCAAGGAACCAGGTGCACAGCTCACAGAGCAGTCTAGGCCTGCATTCTGGGAAAACTTGGGGGATCAAAGAACAGGTTTTGTGGGAGCAAGAGAATGAGTCTCTACTTCCTCCCTTTCCTCTCATCACTCTGGTGAGAGGCCTAAATGCCTCTGCGAGCTGCAGCAACCACTGACAGAAAACCAAAATAAAACAAAGCAGAGACACAGAGAGAGCGCGAGAGCACATTAAATCAAAATTCCTTTAACACTTTTCTTAAAAGGCACCGATCATCTAAATCACTCCCCTTCCCCCAAAGCCCTTTTAAATTCCAAAGCTGAGAACAAAATTATGGTTAAATGTTTAATTAATGTTTATTATAGCTAGCATATTAGTTTAGAAAGGTCAAATTTATGATACAATGAAGTAATATTTTTCACATTCTGTGGGTCTACTTTATAGCACACTGGGGCCTAGAGTATAATAAATATCTTCTATTATTTTGTAGGATTCTTGCATGTAAACCTGCTGGGGCTGAGATAATACTGAATTTCAAGTTGAATGAGCTGGTGTGAACCTTAGGCAAGTCCCTTCATCTTTCAGGACTCAGCTTTCAGAGTTGTAAAGTGAAGAATAGGGATAAATCAACAAGTTCTCATCCAGATGAAAAAAAACAAAAAGTAAAAATTTAAAATGCCAAGGCCGTTAAAAAATTAATCCTTTCCTTTTAAGAAAAGGCTTTGGGCCCAACCAAAAATTAAGGAAGTTCAAGCCCCCAACAAGAAAAAGAATTCCAACAATGATTCCATCTCTACAATTCACTTTATGTTCCAATTTCTCTATTCTCTGCCCACATTCACCCTTTGGAGGTTTCACCCCTGAAAGTTCAGAGGTATTTGTTACCACACATCATGTTTTCCCCTGGGGCCACGCCCCTGATCGCAGGAGGTGGAAGTTCTGCAATAACCTCTACACATCCCAACTTAGACTTGTGATTGAAGGTAATACCATAAAATGCATATAAAGCATCTGTTAGAATGCCTGATAGATAGGGGACCCTTGGTAGAGTGTGCCTGATACATTGAACAGTGTGATGTGTGGAAAATAATCAAAACACAGCATTATTTTTATGTCCCCATTCAGATGTTTCTCCTGTCACCAGATGAAAACTCAGCAGAACGCACGGCTCCATCTTGGGTTGCAGAGGGCCCCACAGTAACTTCAAGTCTCAAACCACAGCCTTGATTCAAAATTAAAGTGTCCAGTTGCAAGAGACTAGTCAACTCCTCCCTCTTCCTTCAGAAATGAAAAGAGAAAAGACTTCTCTTTTCATTCCCTGCATGCTTAGGCCATCAGGGTCCACAAGTGGGAGAGGGAAAAGGGGTTGGGGGAGAAGCAAAGGAAAGGACAGCAAAGCTCTCATTTGACTAGTGACTGACACTGTCCTAAGGAAACCTGGTGGGTGGTTAATGCTGGCTCTTACCCTCTAGCAGTTTTGTTGTCTTAATTGCTAGCTGGGCTGTCCCTAGAAAAATGTCCCTCATGTGGATCACGCAGGTTTCCTTTGACTATTCACTTCTCTTCCACTTATTAAGTTCCCATTTATTGTTTTTCCATCCCACAGTTTTTGAAGTCCCCTCACCTCTGGTAGAGCAGAAAAACATTGTGGAAGATACCTGTGACAATGACTCCTTGGCACTGGCCAATGGTTTCTTAAATAGGGCACATAAAATATTGGTGAATAATAGTTCATTAGGACTTTCCCGCTTTCATTTAGGTATGGAAAGTTAGAAAGAATGTTGCTCCCATTTGAACTGCAAGAAAAAGCTGAATTGCCTACATCAGGACTTTTCTTGAGACCATCAGAGAGCAGAGGTCCAGCAAAATTCTAGTGCAGGGCAAGGAAAAAAAGTGTGGCAAGAGACCCTCTCTGAGGCACAGGCCTAAAGCCTGCCCCTACCATGAGCAAAGTAATGCTGATTGCCCAAAACTGGAAACGACTGGTGAATGGGAAAACAAAAAACAAACAAACAAACAAAAACAACCTGTGATCTATCCATATCATAGAATACTACTTACTCATCAATAAAACGGAACAAACTCTTGATACAAACAACAACATACCTGGATGTCAAATGCATTATGCTAAGTGAAGAAAGTCAGATTCAAAAGGCTACACATTGTTTGGTTACATGTACAAGATATTCTATGATATCATAGGCAAAACTGTAAGGACAGAAAACAGATCAGTGGTTTCCAAAGGCTGGAGGTAGGTGCGGGGTTGGATACAAAGAGGTATGAAGGGTTTTTGAGGGGTAGTAGAACTGTTCTATATCTTGGTTATGGTGGTAGTTACATGTCAGGCATTTGTCAAAACTCACAGAACTATACACTAAAAAGGGTGATTTACTGTATGTAACTATCTCAAAGGCATTTCAAAATAAAAAACAGTACTTCATTAAAATTAAGACAGTTTGTTCATTCAATTATACCATTAAGAGAGTGAGGAGACAAGTCATTCATTGGGAGAAAATAAAAAGCAATAGCATTTGCATACAGAATATATAAAGAACATACAAATGAGTAAGAAAAAAAGCAGACAACCCAATAGAAAATGGGCAAAAGACTTGAGTGGACATTTCACAAAACAAAATATCCAAATGCCTAAGAAGCATATGAAAAGATGCTCAACATCTTTATTCTAAGTGCATATGAAAACCATAATGAGGTACAACTGCTCAGTCACCAGAGTAGATCAAATTAAAGATTATTAACACTAATGTTGGTAAAAATGTGAAGCAATTGAAACTGGTTGCAAATCTGTATAACAACTTTGGAAAACTATTTGGCAGTATTTACTAAAGCTAAACATACCTGAGCCTTATGACCCAGCAATTCTACTCCTAAGTATCTATCCAACAGAAATGACTGCAAACATCCACCAAAAGATATGTTCAAAAATGTTCATAGCACCATTATCATAATAGCAAAAACCTGGGAACAACTCAAATTTCCATTAATAGAAAAACATATACACATACAATGAAATACTACACAGCAATAAAGAGGAATAAATTACTGTAATGTGAAACAAGGATGAAACAGACATGAGCACAAGTAAAAATGAGTATGTACTATATATTTTGATTTGTATGATGTTCAAGATTATAAACTAATTCATGGTGATGAAATCAGAATAGTGGTTACAGGTGGGGGTAGTATTTGCTGAGAAGAGGCATGAGGAAGCCTTCTGAGCTGCAGGAAACATTTTATATCTTGAGCTCAGTGGGTGTTTACATAGGGACATACAGATACATATATATGTGTGTGTGTGTGTGTGTATAAAACTTCATCCAGTAATACATGTAAATACTATGTACTTTACTGCATGTATTTAATATGTTTACCTCAGTTCACTATTATACAAAGAAAATATCACAGCATAGCTCAAGGGCTAATGATAATGTGTACAAAATGAATATAAACAAACTAGGAATACAGGATTTGTCTTGGCCCCTGACCCCTGTGTGTTTCTGATTAGCGTGAAGACGAGAAGAAACATGTGTTAGCTCTGCAGCCCATAGTAGATCAGCCTTGACACAGCTTCTACTCATTTTAGATGCCAAGCTTATGCAATTTAAAAATATGTATATTTTTGTTTTGAAAAAATGTAGAGAAGGCATTTTTCCTCTACTGCTTTAAAACAGGGGCCTTTGTTTCATATGCTATTAATTGCTATAGCATAATGGCTGCCAGATTATTTTCTATCAAGTGACTAAAATTTCTTGTGCCACCATCCTCCTACCATATCATTTCTCAATAAATCAAGATTTGTGCACTTTATGCACAAATGGATGCATAAAGGGTGTCAGACCTCAATACAATTTGTTTTTAATGACTCCTACCAACACTCCTAGGGAGGCCATATCCATATCAGGCCTCCAGGCCTCACGCACTTCCAACTGGTCTGGGAATGCAGTTTCTCCTGGCACAGAAGCCACCCAGTCGGCTCCTCTGCACTTCCCTGTGAGCATCAGACGCCAGTCCTCAATCCTCCCAGCTACAGGAGTTTTCCATTAAGTCTCCGAGCCATCCATGAGTTCCCCAGACAGCCCTGGGTCTGAGGAGGAAGAAAGCCTCATCCACTCACCCACACTTTGTTGAGGGCTCACACACAGCCCTGTAAGCTTGCCTTAATGTATCTCCTCACCAATCCTCTTTCCTCTTTATAACCTGACCTTTTTAATGTCTTTGAGGTGAATGAGAAGTCCAAGAGTCTTTGCATCAGCATTAGACAGTTACTTCGTCATTGCACTCTGCATTTTTGTCCAGCACCTTGGTCTGCTCTGTGCAGCATCTATGGCTGGTGTTGGCTATCTCCATCAAAACCTTGATATTAACATCCTGCTGTAATAACTTATGGTTGAACCATGTGAAATTGTTGACTATTTTTGACCTAAATATTACATTGCAATTTCATAGGATTCAAACTACCAGTTTATTCAAGATAGGCTTTTTGCAGAAACTAAACTTTAGGTTTGGTTTGAACAAAAGGGAAAAGTGGGTTCTTGAATACTCAAATACTGAAACACCTGTGAAGCATCTTACCTTGGCTTTCAGATCAGCACACAATTCCTGTTGCTTTTTCCTGTCCTTAGCCAATGTGCTTTCCATTTCATGAGTTGCACAAGCCTCCATGAGGGTCAGCACAGCCTTCTGTGTAAAGTCTTTCCTATTCTTATTCCAATTTGATAGCAGGATCCTTCGCTGCTCCCTAGCAAAGCGATATTGGTCACAATATTTCTCATGTTCAACCTGAAAAGATAACAGATGGTGAATACTTATTATTAGGAAAATGGGTCTATATTTTATGGCTTTGTTACAAAAATGAATAAAATGAAATGCAACAAATGATTTTGAAAAACTGGGGACAAACACCTTAATAGCAAATACAGCAACCAGGAACCAGGTACTGTCTTCAGAATTCTGAGCAGGTGGCCAACTAGAGACTGAGGCCAAGTCATTTAATGTTTGTAAATTATACAGTGACTTCTATGCACATGTGAATGTTGCTGTTACTCGCTTAATTTTTTTAAAAATTACAGAACATATTTTATAGCACAGTTTATTTAAAAATTAAAAGTCTGTGTATTTGTTTACATATATGTTATAAGAAGAATTATTGTGAAATTAATTAGTGACATGCTAACTTCTGTTTTCTTGCCTTTGTGGTCTTGTTGACTAAAGAACAAAACAATATAATTTCCCAGTTCCTTCTCAGGGAAATTTCAATCATATCTTTGAGTTCTGTATTTGGGGTATTTGTATTTCAGACGCAACTAGGGAGATCAAGCAGAGCTGTCACAGGGTAGACAGAGGAGAGTGCCAGCCCCCCAGGTGAAGGGTTGGCTTCCCCATGGCTAGGATTGAGGTGTGGCAGGCTCTGTGGATGGAGAAGCAGGCACTCCACTTTCAAGCCAGACCTGGAGAAGGCAGAATCTCTGAGGGTGGGCAGGTGACTATATGGACAGCTGGGGGTCAAATACTAGCAGAGCAGCCCTGGGAGCCACAGTGAAGATCTCTGCAGCAAATAGGCACAGAAAGAGTAAATGTGGCCAGAGGGGCCCCCACCTTCTCATGGACTAAAAAGAATTTTTATAAATGACCTGTACAGGCTTTCAACGTACAACCCCATTATTTTCTACAGTATAGAGAAAAATAATTTTTGGAGTACCATTTAAAATATATGTCTATTGCTTAATAATCATTGACCACTAAAACAATTTAATTTGCCGTAATATAGAGTCTAGCACCCACCAAATCATGCCTAGATTTGTGAGGATAATATCTTTGTAACATGTCCAGATATAGAGTCCTTCTGCCAACTAGATCTCCAGAGTACTGATCCACAATAGCCTGGTAAATCCAGTGGTCTTCTTCACTTAGTTGGCAGTTTCTGGAAGCAACAAAAATGTTACAACATATTGCTGAGTAATCATGAATTTCAGGGACTTCAAACCATGCAAGCTATTAGCAACTGGTGATAATTATGTAAAATGAGATTTCTGTGGGTTTCTTTTTCAGACATTAGCCAAATATACTGTCTGTTACACAAAAGTTTCAAATTTTAATTCCACGGATTCTTTCAATTCTTTATTTGGTCTTGCTATAAGTTCCAGACATGATTTGAAGAAGTTTAATGAAGCATAACAATTTCTTAAATATTTATTGTATCTTGCCTATAAAAATATTTTAAAAATCATGACCAATGAATGAAATAAACAAACATTAGAAAATAAATTATTATGCATACAGATTTAAAAGGAATTTTATTATTCAACAAAGTTTCTATGTCTAGACTAAAGGGAAATACAAACGTAAACGGTTATGTGAACAATTACATAAAAGAAAATAAAGACAAACTCAGAAAGACCTAAGATCTGACTTCAAAGAAAAGTCTAAAATTATCTTTTTACTTTATCCTCTTCTTGCTTTGTAGGGGGTAATACTAAATATTGGTAGTGAAAAATAACCAAAAGCATTAAATTTCGGATTCCTAAAGAAATCATTTGTAATAGAATCATGTCAAGTCACCTTCCCAATTACATATACACTATGCTCCAGAGTGCCTTTTCCATTTCAGAACGCTTCTAGGCACTGGCTTGGTTTGTGTTCTACATAAAGTATCAGCAAAGTCCTATACAGAGTGAAAAGTTTACAATATCAGCTTGAACTCTAAACTGAATTAATACCTCTTTATATTCTTGAGTTTATTTGCATATTATTATTCCTGTTTAATCAATTAGAATAATCAAATACAAATGCAATCAGGGGGAATATTCTTAGCAACAAATTTTTTTTTGATCCAAGATGAGGACTTGCCATTGTTTATTTGTACCATTATCAATGGTCTTACACTTTAAAGTTAATTGTGCAATTTAAAGATTTTTTTATGTCTTTAAAATGTCTTCCATGCCCCTGAAAAACATTTTGACAATTTAAAACAGGTTAAAACACTTTTTAAATAAGTGATACAAATGGGAATTCCACTGTCCTCAGACAAGGTTTCTGTAAAGCATATTCTTACTCTGGTAAGCAACAAGAAAGAGAAAAAATCATGTTCAAAGAAGAGAATCCTCTTTACTTGCTCCATATGAGGGGGAAAAAAAGTTGGAGGTGATCTACCAGGAAGAAGAATACTCTACAGCTCTTAAATATGAAACAATAATTTATTGCAAAGAAAAAATTTTAGATGAATTAATTGAACACACCAAGTGTTTTGGTCTTGTCTGAATCACTTACACACGTATAGACAAAGCCTTCTGCAAATAAAACATTACAAATGGGAGTATTAAGCCAGAATAAAGGTTTGCCTGAGTGTACTTGGCATTTAAAACACCCTCAGGTTTTCATGTCCCCTGTCAACGAACCCATCTTCCATTCATGGCAACATGAATACAAATTCTTTATTACGACACCACAAGCCAAAAATAAAAAACAGAACTAAAGTCTGTGTTCTCGTTAACGTTTTTAAATTCATTCTTTAATCAAAGGGACTTGAACACTGTTTGAATTTTCACCTTCCTTTGATTACAACTGTGGACGGGTGAGTGTGTTTCCTGGGGAGCGGGAGGCAGCAGAATCTAGAGCCAATAGTTCTCAGGTTGTTTTGTCATTCATCCACATAAAGGATGCTGTCGGTGCCATGCTCAGATCACGCTTACTAGATGGAGTTCCCATTACCAAGATGCTGAGTCTTGGTTGATAATGCACAGATGCCCCTTCTTTCTCTGGAGAATTGTCCTGGGCCAACTGGGAACTGCCTCTCCCAGGAAGCTGCCCTCCATCCTGTTTCTAGGGCCGAACAAAACCAATAACTGAGGACAAGCAGGTACAGAAGGCCAGCCCACTTGCCTCCAGAGGGCACCAACTCTGGGATCCCATTTATGCTCTGGAGTTTCCCAGCAGGGGCAACCTGCAACCAGTCTCCAGGGAGACCTCCTCTAGCCTAGACATTCTCCCCTCTTCTATTTGGCTTCCTTCAAAGCTTTTCACCCTAAGAGCATCTCCCAATAAATCACTTGTTCTAGGAACCTCTGTGTCAGATTGTTGATTGTTTCTGCAGAACCAACCCTAAGATAATCTATAAGCAATCTTACCCATAATTTTCAAAAATAGTTTAAATCTTTGGTAAATGGAAAAGTAATTCCGAACTAATTCCTTTGATATCTCATACTTAGTGGTGGTGCAAGATTGTGGCTGTCCTCAAAGACAAAGTGCAAATAGCAAACACTTACAAAAATGCTTTTCAAATAGCAGCACACATTAAGCAGTGTACATTGCTATAAATAAATATAGCAGAAGGAGGATTTGTGGCACTCAGTGCATTTTTATACATTGCGTGAATGTATTAATTAGGTGCCATTTTAGTGACTACATTAAAAACACTTAAATATATGAAATTATTATAAAACATTAAAGCCAAACATTTCAAGCATGCCATGAACTGCCAGGACATACATTTTGACCTTCTTGTTGATTTTAGAAGCCTCATATTCTGACAGCTTTTTCTAGTTACCATAATTAGGCAAATTGGAAGGCATTTTTTTAGTACTTGTAGAATAAAAATAAAAAATATGCTTAAAGGAAATGATATATAAACACTCACAATATTATTTTTTTAGAGTATGTATTTATAGCAGTTTCCAGAGCTACAGGCTTAAATCTTGAGGCAAATAGTCACACTGGAAATAACAATGGCACAGCCCTACATCTCCATTAGAATCTGCTAGTGAGGGAGGGAGAAATTTCCCACTGCTATATACATACAGGCTTTACATAAACTGAGTTTGGGGATAGCAAAAATCTAAGAAACACATTCAAGCACAATAGCTTCTTCATAGTAACAAAGTAGCCATTTCCTAGAAACCCAGCCTTTTAGTCTCTAAAATAAAATCAAATTCAATACATCTGTACTTCTAAATTCAAATCAGGACATTTATCTTTTTAAATCAAATCTTCTTTTCTTTGTAGAGAAAAATCTATATAAACTAACTTTTATCTTTCGAAGTTCTTATTTCATTTAACTGCGTTTCTGGTAAGTTTGATGATAGAACTAGCTAAATTCCATAGATAATGAAAATATTCTGATACCTTATCTACTTTCTGAATTTGAAAAATGACTCTATAAAGAAAATTTTGAAGAAATTCAAAACTATCCTAAACTTTTACAATTTAAAAAAAAAATCTTTAGACAAAAAAATCTTTAGCAGTATCTGCAATTTCTATTTCTTTTTGGCCATCCACATTTTCTAATTTAAAGGGCTTCATCTTTATCATAGCACACCAAAATTTTACAGTTTGTAGGTTTATTGAGCACTTCTAACACTTCAAAAAATTTCAGCCTGCAGAAGTGAGAGATATTTACCACTCAATCCCCACTCATCAACCCCATCCCCAAATACTGATGACCCCAAGTATTGAAAACCATTATTTCATTATGATTTCTCAGGAAGTGAGACAAAACAGGTAATTCAGAAAACAAGAACAACAGAACTCTAAAAATTCAACCTGACCCAAGCTGATTGTCTCCCTAATTCTACCTGTTTGAGCTATTCCAAACTCCTACATTGATTCACAATTAACTTAGCTAATTCGTTTTCATCATAGTCGTGATAAAACCACTTTCCTTGGGTTCTGATTCCAGGACATTAAAACACATTTTGGGGCAGGAGGGCAGGCAACGGTGGCAAACAAAATACACAAGGATAACAGGTACTTTCGTGGCAAACAAAATACACAAGGATAACAGGTACTTTCATAGCCAAAACAAGTTTATGGAACTAAACATTGTGTTCACAAACTGGCTTAAAGCTGTTTTATATTTTCCCAGAGTGGAGGGAGCTTTCCAGGCAAAAGGGTAATTAGTGCCTCCTGAAGCTAGCCGATGCAGTTATCAGCATCTGATGACTACCTGAAAGGGCACATGGCCATGGAGAATCTGACCTAAAGAAAAACTGTTATCTCTTAAAGCCCAGCAGTGTGAAGGCACACCTCGTGCCCCTCCACTAAGAAGCAGAAGTGCAGTGAGGCACTGGTGGGGCGATGGGGATAAGAGAAAGTTCTGCCACAGTCCCCTTGTCTGGCTGCATCAAGTCTGACCCTCTGGAAAACACAATTCTGCTTCACTTTTCAGTGCTGTCTTTCCAAATCAGACCCATGCAAACACCCAATCTAATCAGCCTGGTTCCTGAAATTGTCTCTTCACCCACCAACCACCCCAGCCCAGGCCCACTGTCCAATTATAAATCTAGCTCTGATTTTCAGTCTGGTTTACAGGGGTATTCCTGGTCCCAGACCATTTCTGACCTACAGAATCTGCTTCCAGAATTTTCTTTGGGTATGTACCTTCTCTTCCCAGGTGATCCATTCCCACTTAGTAGATCACCTCCAGGGGCTCTGGGCTTCACTCAGTCTGGCTACGCAGCTGGCAACTGACAACCAGAATGAAGTGGACTCTCAGGAACAAGGTCAAAATTCACTGAATTGAAGAATCAAGAAGAAAAGTGACCCATAGGGTAAAGCCAGAACTCGTACCAGCGTCCAAAGTCTTGTTCTTCTGAGGGGTGACAGGAAAGTGAATATATGGCAGGGTTCTAAAAGTTCTCTCTCCAGAATTTCTTATAGGCAAGATTTAGAGATGAGAATCTGGTCAAAAGAGAAAGCTATGTGATTTATTTGGAAGCTGCATTTTCCAAACAGCGAGCACACTGTTTTAACTTAGATTTTTTTTTTTTTAGAGTAGTTCAAATAGAAAGCTCAATTTTTTTACTTAGAATGTGCATTTTCTGGAGGTAGAGTAGAAAGAATGATGACAAGCCTCCTAAACCATTCTTTGTTCCCAGCATCCATCTACCATTAGTTTTCAGAGGCAACAAAATTTCTAGTGGAAGTTTT